ACGAGTTTACGTTACATTCGCGTTCTCGCTGGAGATTCGCCCAGTGCGGTATTCTCTCGTATATACGGAACCAACTTGTCGAATGAAGAGCGAAGTGAGTTGCTTTCTCGAGAAACGTAATATTTACAAATGATTTACAGGGTTAATGTTACAGTCTTTTCTTTGGTAAAGATCCAAAAGCAGATATTACCGTTGCTTTGGTGCCAGTTGCGGATGATGTTAAAGTGGTAAGAGTCGGTTGAGACAACAGCACGGTTGGCTTTATCGAGGCAGTAGTTCCGGTCGCAACTTGATCCCATTTGCTTTTTCTCTTTTTGGCATCGTCCTCCGTTACGTTCGAATTATTGGGCCGCTTGGCAGTACCGGAAACAATTTCGATTTTCGTTTTCTCCTTCCTAGCCTTCTCGAGTTTGTCCATTTTTGCCTTTTGGACTTTGGCAAGCTCCTCGTAATAGGAATCTTTACCCCACTTGAACGGATCGAATCTGTCTGGAGGATAATTAGTACCCAATTCGTTGATGCTACAAAATTGAATGAGTTTTTCATAAATAGATGGATTTCTGAAATCCTTCCTTTGTTGTATGACTTTGTTCATGTCTAGACCGCCGCTCTCCATTTTCCTAAAAAGTTTCGTTATCTTTTCTTGTAGTTCCACGGGACACTGGCCCGGTGGCTCCGGTGGTATAACAACGCCATAGGGATCCACCTCGCTATCTGAAACTAACTGCTGTTCTCCTTGACAAGAGGGAGAGCGTTCCACGATCGAGGAGGGCAGCCTTCCATTTTCAAAAGGCTGTCCATCGATCTGCGTTTGTACCACTCCCTCGTCGTCGGAGACTATCGTATCGTCAAAATATGAAACCAATCTCTGCACCTTAGATATCACATCTGTTACTAAGGTGGGCGCGTTCGACAAATCGTTACTAGACTTGCCACCGACGTTGGGAGCAACAACGGGACTATTTGAGGCTGATGTGCCAGATTTGGGACTGGTGAAAGCCTGGGGCTGACCGACTTGGGCATTATGCGGGGCGGCCCCCTGGGGAGTGTTCGAATTCTCCTGAAGGTCGTCTTCCACCCCGTCTTCGCCCTCCGAGTCGGTATAGGTGGCCGTGAGAGATGCCAGAGCAACACTTTGTACAGACATGGTTAGTTGGCTTTGAGTGTCCGCCGTACTACCAAGCAATATTTTGTGTTGGAACTCACCGGTCTAGCGTAGAGCTGTATGCCTTTTAGCTGTGGGACATTTATGTATGTACGTATGTACGTATGTAAATATGCCTTATATATCAACGTTAACTATGTCCCAATGTTTTGTTGGAATGTTCGTTTACCGTGTCGAATCTGAAAGAAAGAAGAATTTCAATCCACGTATATCGTTGGATACTTTCTCAGTAAATAAATAACACGTATCTACGAACGTACGCGTGTACGCGATAATTTCTTAGAAAGAAAAGAGACAAAGGGTAAACGAGAAATGATAAGACAAAGAGAGGGAACAAAAGAGGCGAAGAACAAACGTTTCACATACGCGAACGTGTATCGTTTGAACACAAATTCAAATTCAAACAGCTCTATCGATACTTTTTTGCAATAACTTTGTAATTTGTCGTTATTTCACTTTCCAAAGGGTACGCTTCGAATTAATTTCACCGATCGACTGACAAGCGTATTAGGTTATGTCGTTAATGTTCGAAATTTTGTGCGATAACCACAACTAACCTGACTGTTCGAACCCGCAAATTTTCCGCTTGCACTATACCTGACTTTCCATTCGTTACGCTAAACTTACGACGTCCTATCTCTTTCCGCCAATTAATATTTCCTCGATTGAAAAACTCGAACGTTGTCGATGCACACCGTTGTCTCGTACTCCAACTTCTTCGACCTTTTCCACAAATTTTGTGCTAACGCGCATGCGCAAGATCAGTGAAACGTACGTACACCATGCGCATGTACCGTGTGACAACGAAAGGTTAGAAAAAGATTTTTAACGTAATTCTAAACTTTGACGGCTTCGTTTCTGTTGTCTTTTCCTTTTCCAATAAAATATAAATTTAAATACAAAGTTAAATCAACGTCGACTTTTACGTATCGCAATCGTGCAAAACGAATCATATTTCTTTAAATTAACGCATCGTACGTACATCTTTACGTACGTTTTACGATTGTAAAGATCACTCGGTGTTGATTAATACCATATTCTGTTTGTTTCTTATTCGTATCTCGACGACTTTGTTCTTTCGTGTATCTCTCTCATTCGTTACACGAAAATAGAAAATGTTCGTTTGTCTGGAAAATTTGGTAAATGTTCAAACAGCGTTCAAAGTTTCGTATATTCGTAGCAAATATTTCATTACTCTCGCTCGACGAAGAGCGATAAACCGATAAAATTATTTGACTTTGTCAAAGAGCGATTTTGAAACGAGCGAAGAGGGAAAATCTTGAATGAAACGTCGCGCAAAGCGTATCGTAAGAAATTGTTTGTTTAAACTTTACAGTTGTTAGATTTAATTCGAACGATATACGTGTACGTAGAGGGAGATACGAGTAACCGAATACATCTGCAGGTAGCGCAAGTATAGCGAGTGGTGGTGAATCAGAGGAGATGAGTCTTTTTTACCGACGTATGCACGCTTGGATAGTGCAGCGTACACGTCGAATCCACGTGTGATCGAATGAAAGTTCGAAAAAACATTCCATAACTTTGCCGCTGTTGGTTCATTCATCATGGTATTGGATTTAGATCTGTTTCGAAAAGACAAAGGCTTTGATCCGGATAAAGTGCGAGAAAATCAGAAGAAACGGTTCAAAGATGTAAATTTGGTCGACACGGTGATCGAAAAGGATAAAATTTGGCGTCAGCTGCGACACAAAGCTGACAATTTGAATAAATTTAAAAATGTGTGCAGCAAAGAGATAGGAGAGAAAATGAAAAAAAAAGAAGCGATCGACGGTGACGACAGTGTTTCGAAGGACATTCTTGAAAACCTGGAAAATTTATCGCCCGATAACCTGAAATCGTTAACGGTTGCACAAATAAAAACTGTTCGTAGTTTCATCGACGATGCTATTCGAACGAACGATAAAAATTTAATCTCGACCGAATTGGAAAGAAATCGTGCCCTTAAAGAAATAGGAAACGTATTGCACGAGTCTGTACCGATCAGCAACGACGAAGAGGAAAACAAGGTACAAAGTTTAAAGCGATAAGCTCTCTGTTCCTTTCCATCGTACGTTATACGTACGTTCCAGAGAGAAGAACAAATTGTAGAAAAATTATTGCTTTCGATTCCAGGTTGAGAGAACGTACGGAGATTGTACGCAACAAAAGAGATATTCTCACGTTGATTTGATACACATGATAGACGGTATAGACGGAGAACGTGGCACTAGCGTTTCAGGTGGACGTGGTTATTTTTTAACAGGACCGGCTGTTTTTTTGCAGCATGCGTTGATTCAATTGGCTCTCAGGCAGTTACAAGCAAAGGGTTACAAGCCACTTTACACTCCGTTCTTCATGCGTAAAGATGTTATGCAAGAAGTAGCACAATTGTCTCAATTCGACGAGGAATTGTACAAGGTACTACGGCAGTTACACGTACATACGACGTACAAACGATATATCGATCCTCGTTAAATTAATTTTATTCATTCAGGTAATCGGCAAGGGCAGTGAGCGCAACGACGACAAGGAAATTGAGGAAAAATATTTGATCGCTACGTCGGAGCAACCGATAGCTGCGTTTCATAGAAACGAATGGATCTCTGAAAATATTTTACCAATTAAATATGCAGGATTGTCCACGTGTTTTAGACAAGAAGTTGGATCTCACGGACGCGATACCAGAGGCATTTTTAGAGTTCATCAGTTTGAAAAAGTAATTGATTTTTTTCGTTTTTTACTTTTTCTTTTAAAAGATACAAGTTGTACATTCTGTACATTAGACAAACACACACGAACAATAGGTGGAGCAATTCTGCTTAACATCGCCGTACGATGATAAATCTTGGCGAATGATGGAAGAAATGATCTCGAACGCAGAAGAATTTTACAAAACTCTGGAAATTCCTTATCGCATAGTGAACATAGTATCGGGCGCGTTGAACAATGCTGCTTCGAAGAAATTAGACTTGGAAGCGTGGTTCCCAGGATCGAATGCTTTCCGCGAACTTGTCTCGTGCAGCAATTGCTTGGATTATCAAGCAAGACGTTTGCTCGTCAGGTAATGGACCGAGCACGATGACATTACAGAAAATATTTTATCATCACCACGTACGTTGCCGTTGTATAAAATAAAATATCGTATCGATATGTTCTAGGTACGGTCAGACCAAAAAGATGAATGCCAACACAGATTATGTTCATATGTTGAACGCAACGATGTGTGCGGTTACTCGTGTTATATGTGCAATTTTAGAGGTACATCAAACTGATACTGGCATTAAAATGCCAAAAGTTCTTGCTCAGTTCATGCCGGCGGAATACGAAAATGAAATTCCGTTCGTCAAACCGGCACCTATCGATGAAACAGATGTGAAAAAACAAAAGAAGCAAAAGGAACGGAAAAGTATCGTTGCTTGAAAAGTATCGTGGATCGAGATAGATTTAGCTACAATTTAAAATGTTAGAAATCTCAAATTTAACGCGATCGTAATTATTAAAATCAAATGATAAAAATAAATTGGAATATCGCTAAGATTTTGTTTAATCAATTGTACAAAACACAACACACGCAACATTCGCAAATTACTTGTTTCAACAGATACAAACAACATAATTCGTACGCATGCTATGATCATGTAATTTTCGGGTATTCGGGTGTATGTCGTAGCAATTTTCATGGCAAACGCTCAACAGCGATATAACGATCGACGTGTAAATATTTAATCAAGTGCTTTCCGTTACGTCTTTCATCTTTCCCGAACATCTTTTTCTTTCTTCGGCTTTTTTTAAATTACTCAGCACAGAGTGTTCAAATTGTTCGATATCCAACGTGGTTTGATTCACCTGATACACGTAATATTTATATTCAACATGAAATGTGAAATATGCAAAATAGACGTCAAATATGCAAAATAGAAAGATAAATATCGTCTGTTATTCTTTTCTACTATTGCCTGGACTCACCGTATGCTTTGTGCAAGTAATATCATTGCAAACAGTTCCCGTGGTACAAATGTTTGACTTTTTCTCTTCGTTCCACAATTTCTGAAGCTTGAGCGGATTCTGTGCTAAACCAACTTCGCAATTTAGTGCCATTTCCTAGTAAAAATAGTACACAATTTCAACAAACGAACAGGAGAGATACATTTGTCTCTTTAACGTTAGAACGTTCTAGTTACCGCGTCATTTCGTTTCTGATATTCTATTACTGCTCTGCCTCTTTTCGTGGAAGAAATAACAAGGGCAATTATCCTCCCATACTGAAAACAAAGATTTATCATAGTATTAGGAAAGCAATTTCAAAAGATGCATTACGACGATTACGGCATTCCCGTTAGGAAAACATTGCAAAATCTGTTTAGCAACGTTATACCTTTGAGAAAATATGATGCAACGTATCGTAATCGTATTCGTCGTTGCTAGTCTGACTTTTACGAGAGTTCCATTTCACTTTTAATCTGTAACAATCGCTGTTAATTTCTGATTCTCCGCAAGATACGTTTGATTGCTTTTCAAAGCGTTTTTTCATAAGTGCTATTTCTTCTTGCAGTTGTCTGGATCCTTCTTTTTGCAATCGTTCTATTTCAGCCTGCAATGACAAAACTCAACACGATGGACAATCGACAACACGGGATGGACAAACTTTGAGAAAATGAATACCTGTAATTTGTCTTTGTCACTTTTAAAGCTAGAATCCTTGTTCAAAGACTCTTTGTAAGCATTTTCTCGTGCTTCCAAATCTTCCTTCAATTTTCTACGTTTCGAATCAAATTCTTTAGCGCGTAATTTTGCTTGGTACTTGGCGTTAACAACTTTGTCATAAGCTGCCTTATTTTGTAAAAATAGAAACGAAAGCGTTAACGAATAGAAACGAAAGAAACAATACGAAATTGTATACAGGAATAATAATCTTGTAGTACAATACCCGAGCAGACGTGTCAGTGAGAATTTCCAATGCTCGCGACAGCTTATGAAACAACTCGGTTGCTTTTGGATTGTTTGGATTTTTGTCAGGATGACAATACAGAGCTTTCTTGCGATATCCTTTCTTAATCTGAAATGACGTAACAGGTTAAACGAAAAATCACAATATCCGATGAACTTTAATTCAAAAAATTTTCTATCATCACGCTTCTGTCTCGTATCTGTACGAACGTTTTGCAAAGATACAAAAGGATATATATATATATATATATAGGTTAATAACGTGTAAAGAAATATATATACCTCTTGAGTGGAAGCTGTTCTTTCCACACCGATTAATTCATACAGATCTGAATCCGACCAGGAATCCATTTTTGTAAAAATTCTACTTGCACGATGTTTTACTTTGCCGGATATTCAACTTTTAAGCAGGTTAAGTTCGTATCAACGATATATTCAACCGAACGTTTGTTTCTCGCAATAAAATAATACGACGTATAACCGTCTTCGTGTGACAAACAACCTTTCAAACAAGTTTTGTCAAATTTTGACCATTTATTCGTATAATAATAATGTTTCATCATTCGTTTCAATAAAAATTAATCACGCCATCGTCGATGGCCGAACATTGAATATTTTTCGAATATTTTTCATCGCTGAACGATACACACTTTCGTACACCATAATGAAACGATCCGTTTGATATCGTTAATAAGCTTACTGTAATTTAGTAAATATCACGTGTTCGATGAGAATGAAATTTTTGTCTCGTTCCCTTCTACTATCTTTGTTCCTCCTTTTTCTCTGTTTGTGCGCACGCGTGTTGCATGCAACATCGTTACGTAAATTTTCAGATAAAAACAAGACACTCGGTAATCATCGTGACAAAGCTTTGAATATCATCGAATACGATTGTTCGTAAAAGAATGATTGAAAAAGTTCTTTTCAAATATGGGAAACGAATGTATTTTAAAGATGCGCTGCTACGACAAGTAAGTGTAGAAAATATAATACGCATATATAACAATGAAATGAAATGAAATGAAACGTAATCCTTGTTATTCCATGAATTAGGCGCAACAACAGTTTCGTAACAGCGATACAGCTACAGATAATGCCAAGACCGATGCCATCGTTGGTGCAGGAAATCCCTCTTTCTTAGGAATACAAACTATATTCACCAGCGAATTAAAAATTACCGACGAACGATGTTACGATCCTTTACCGATATTTAGAATTTTAAACCCATCGCACGAACGCGTACAATTACCAGAGGATTTCAAGGTTTGCACGATTAATTTTTATCAATATCAAGCGTGCAAGTAGTTTTGTTAATTTTTCAACGATACGTTCCTCTTCTTCCATTCAAGTTGGATGAAAATACTTTAACTAAAATATATCGTAAAATGGTTACGCTAAATATAATGGACAAGATCCTGTATGAATCTCAACGACAAGGACGTATATCATTTTACATGACTAATACGGGAGAAGAGGCAATCCAGATTGGTTCTGCGGCTGCTATTACACTGGAAGACGTTATATATGCTCAATATCGTGAAGCAGGTATGAAATACCGATCCGTATCAATCGATAATTTAAAGTGATTACACACATGGTTTATTGCAAAGTAATTTTTTTGTCAGGTGTTTTGTTGTGGCGTGGACACACTATCGCAGACTTTATGAATCAGTGTTACGGTAATCACAAAGATGCTGCGAAGGGAAGGCAAATGCCTGTTCATTATGGATCGAAAAAATTGAATTTCGTTACTATTTCATCTCCTTTGACGACGCAACTACCTCAAGGTAGTATCGCACGGTTTCTCCTTATTCTGCTTCGAGTTGTACGACAATTTTTTTCAATAACTCAACAGAACTCTTTAGCCGTAGGTACAGCTTACGCGCTCAAGCGATCTAAAAGAAATGCATGTGCAGTTTGTTACTTTGGCGAAGGAGCTGCTAGCGAAGGAGATGCTCACGCAGCTTTCAATTTTGCTGCTACTTTGGACTGTCCGATCGTTTTTATATGGTAACTGTTCGTTGCGTAAAAATGAGTACACAAACATACGTAAACATACACGTACATTGAGAAAAAGAAGAAAAAGGGAAAAAGGGAAAAGCAAGAAGCGGTTTGACGGCATTTTCTGTTTTTTTTT